GCGGGCCGCTGCTGCCTGCGGCGGAGCTTCGGAGCCTGGCAAGGGGTTTGGGGGATCAAAGGTCCAGGGTGGGGGGCAGGACACCTGGGTCCCTTGGAGCCAGCGTAGGGACCTTTTCCCTCCTGGAAGTGACTGGGGAGGGCAGCTAAGGCTGAAGGTGCAGGTCCCCTTAGAGAGCCGTGAGTGGGGCTGGATGCTGGGCCCCGGGAAGCGAAGGTGTCCGGGCCTGCGTGGTCCAGTCCTAGCGAGGTGAGGGGTAGATGCCAGTAGGTGGGCGAGGGGGCATGTGCGTCTTCTGGGGCTTTCTGTGTCTTGGGGCTGAAGGGGAGCGTCTGTGTGGGTCAGAGCAGAGCCTAGTGTAAGGAGAGAAAGAAGGGACGCCCGAGTATTTGTTCCGTTGGCTTCCCGGACAGGATCCCCTTCCCCCTCCCTGTGCCCTCGAGGCTGCCACGCGGCTGGCTCTGGGGAGCACGGGGGCTGGCTGCCAACAGGACGGCCGCTGGACGGCCGGGATCAGGTGTCTGAGGTGGGAGCCAACTCTTTGCATTCCTGCCCCACTCCTCCCCCTCTGGCCGGCCGGGCTCTCCTGGGACCCTGGTGTCCACAACCCTGATCTTTTCCCTCTTTTTCCCAGGATCCAGAATTCCCGGCTCCTAGGAAAGGGGATTTGATGTCAGAGAGGAGGGGGCTGAGAGCACCTGGGTGCTAGGCAGCCTGGAGCAAGTCCCCCACCCCCGAAAACACTGGAGACTGATTTGCATAGAACTTGACTATTCATTTCTTCTCTGCTTTGGAAAGAAAATGGTCAGAATAACAGCATAAAGGATTTAGATTAGGTTACGGAAGGGGAAGGAAGAACCCCCGTGCTGTGAGCAGTGTGAGGCTCAGGGCCAAGGAGCAAGTGTGTGATGCAGAGTCTTTCTTAGGGGAAAAGGGGCCCGCTAGCACGGAGGCGCGGACGCGGCTCAGCCGACTGTCTCTTATTTTAGAGCTGGGTGGGTAGAGGTGGGACTCTGTAATGTGGAATTCAAAAGAGGAAGGAGTGGGGCATTTGGGGGCCCAGAGGTAGAGTGGTGGTGGTGTGATGGGGCTGCCAGTGGGGCCTGTGGGGCAGAATGAGGCCAGAGACAATGGGGCACATATGTGGCCTGAGGTGAGAAGACAGGTGGGCAGCCTGGGGGTGGGTCATCTATAGGATGGAACTGTACTTTCGGGGTGGTGGTGGAGGGTGGGGGCCTCTGAGGTCTCCTTGGCCTGGGGTCTCTGTGAGTCTCTGTGTCTCTGTCTCACTCACCCTCTGTCTCTCAAAGCAGCCCTTGTGTGTTGGTGTTTGCGGAGCTGCCACACGCGGGGCCAGGCTAGGGTGGGGGTGAGGCGGGGAGGGGGGGCAAG